GGGGAAAAATGAGGACCTAATGCCAGGGGCTTAAGTGGAGAGGAAATGTTTTGAGAATGATGAGGACAATGAATGTACAAATGAGCTTTACACAATTAATGTGTGTATGGATTGTGATAAGAGTTGTATGAGCCCCTAATAAAATGATTAAAAAAAAGAAAAAAAAAGACCTCCTCTCAATTGACACTCATTCAAAATTTTACTAAGAAGATAATAAAGTTGAAAGATTTTTTTCTGTGAATAGCTAATTCTCCTTAGATTCTAATTTAAAAAAAAAAAACAACCAATAAACATTTCAGGGTAAATTAGAAACAGTTCTTCTCTGCTAAGTACTTCGTAAAACCAAAGTCAAAACAAATCAACCTCATTGCCATTTAGGCATTGCTAACTCATGATGACCCTACACGGCAAGACAGAACTGCCTCCGTGAGTTTCTGAGTTTGTAACTGTCAGTGGGAGTAGAAAGCCCTGTCATTTTGCTAAGTGCCTGGTGGTCTTGAACCGCTGACATTGTGGATCGCAGTCCAACTTTTAACTACTAGATCACCATGAACTTTATAGAAATCAATTAGAGTTCACTATTTGCCATTTTTCAAATATAAAATTCACCTCTAATGAAATATACACACTTAAATTGAACATTTGCAAATCATACACACATGTACCCATGCAACCAAAATCCTTATCAGTATATTTGGGGTTGTGAGGTGAGAGGGAGGTGTTCAAAAAGTTTGTGGAAAAATAGAATTAAAAGAGAATGGAATTTTCCACAACATTTTTTGTAACCACTTGTAGAGCATCATCGTCACCCCCAGTAGGTTCCCTCACTTCTTTTGCCTCTGGAGCATTTCTCATTGCTCTGAGATCATTCATTCCATTTGACAGCTAGTCTGAAGTTTGGGTTTTATTTTACACTCCAGCTACATGTAACAAAATGGTATGCATAGGCCAAATGGAAAATCCTGGTTCTTTAGGCAGCTGGAATGGAAAGTTGATTCTATGGGGAAGTGTATTGTAAAGTGCTAGGATTTTTTCTTGTTTATATATAAAGCTTAAAAACGTCAAATTCTGTTAGAAGAAGTGAAAAAAGTGAAATGGGTTTCAACTTAATCCTTTGGGGTTCTTATTAGTAAAATGAAATAACATTTTGCTTTTTACCCTCAAGGGTTCAATGGAAAGTGATTCATTCTGTACTAGAAGAAAGACGAGATAATGTTGTTGTCATGGCAACTGGTGAGTTGTACCTAAGCAAATAAGCCAATCCTTTAAAAAAATGAAACTTGAAGATTTCAAATATTTAATCATTCACTAAACTCTTAACAGTACAAATACAAGTGATATAAAACATAAAGAAATTAAACAGAATAGCTTCTCTAAGTTATACATAAATCAGCTCTTTGGAAAAATCACTTATTAGCCCTTAGTAGCTTATTGTATGAAGAAATTATAGTGTGCAGGTTTGTTTTGATTTCTGTTACTATGTTATTTTTGCTTTAAGGGTATGGAAAGAGTTTGTGTTTCCAATATCCACCTGTCTATGAAGGCAAGATTGGCATTGTCATATCTCCTCTGATTTCTCTGATGGAAGATCAAGTGCTCCAGCTTGAGTAAGTGATCTTTTCATTGCCACATGACCTCTTATTTTATTTCTTCCACGAATGAAACGTCGATCTATTATGTCTGTTAAAATCACATTCCCAGTGACACATTTCTCTAATGGTGCTTTATCTTTCTTACTAATAAATGACACTATTGTGGAAGAGCTTACCTTCTTTCAGGAGCTCTGTGTAATTCAGGACAGCCAGATGACCCCTAAGGGTTTTTTTTTACAGCAGTACTACTTTGTACCATTTTACATGGAATATCCCAAGAGCCTTTATCCCCCTTCTTGACCTTTGCTCTTTTGTTTGGTATGAAGTATTTATATGGAAGGATAATTTCAAACGTGAGATGTAAATTTCTTCAATGTGAGCCTGCAGTCAGCATGAAAGTTCAATGTAAGAACCTACCTTATAACATGACCTGAAAGACTTTGTTTATTAAAAGAGCTGCAAACACTAGAGGACAGCAAAGAGGGGGAATATACATTATTTCATTTCTTTATTTTAATTCAAATACGAAGGTGGTATTTGCATTGAGTAGTTGGCTTCAGAATGTTTGGTTTTTTTTCTTCTAGAATGTCCAACATTCCAGCTTGTTTCCTTGGATCAGCACAGTCGAAAAATGTTCTAGAGGATGTTAAATTGTGAGTAATTGATGTGATTTTTTTAAAGTCATATGGTCACATATATGTGATCCTTGAGAGAATTTTACATACAACATTTAATAAAATTTTGTAATACACAGACAAAATGTCTATGATTTAAAAATGCATTCGCCCTGGTAGGGATTGATCAAGGGCAATGTAACCGAGAGGAATTACTGAAACCTAAATGAAGGCTGAACATGATAGTGGGACAAAAGGAAAGTAAAAGGAAATAGAAGAAAGAACTCAGAGGCAAAGGGCATTTAGAGAGGCCTAAATACAAGCATGTACATATGTAAATATATTAGTATATGATGATGGGGAAATAGATCTATGTGCATATATTTCTAGGTTTAATATTAAGGTAGCAGATGGACATTGGGCCTCCACTCAAGTACTCCCTCAATGCAAGAAGACTTTTATTAAACTGGTATTACATGATGCTCACCTTCCTGACACAATCGCTGAAGACAAAGCGGGTGCATAAGCAAATGTGGTAAAGAAAGCTGATGGTGCCCGGCTATCAAAAGATACAGCATCTGGGGTCTTAAAGGCGTGAAGATAAACAAGCGGCCATCTAGCTCAAAAGCAACAAAGCCCACATGGAAGAAGCACACCAGCCTGTGTGATCATGAGGTGTTGAAGGGAGCAGGTATCAAAGAACAAAAAAATCATATCATTATGAATGAGGCGGAGTGCGGAGTGGCAACCCAAGGCTCATCTGTAGGGAACTGGACATCCCTTTGCAGAGGGTTTGCTGGGAGGAGACGAGCCAATCAGGGTGCAGTGTAGCATCAATGAAACACACACATTTCCTCTAGTTCTTAAATGCTTCCTCCCTCCCCACTATCATGATCCCAATTCTGCCTTACAAATCTAGACCAGAGTACGTACATTGGTACAGATAGGAACTGGAAATACAGGGAGTCCAGGACAGGTCATCCCTTTAGGACCAGTGGTGAGAGTGGTGATACCAGGAGGGTGGAAGGAGGGGAGGGTGGGATAGAAAGGGGGAACTAATTACAAGGATCTACATATAATCTCCTTTCTGGGGGATGGACAAAAGAAAAGTGGGTGAAGGGAGATGCTGGACAGTGTACAATATGACAAAAGAATAATAATTTATAAATCATCAAGTGTTCATGCGGGAGGGAGGACAGGGAAGGGGAAAAAATGAGCTGATACCAAGGGCTCAAGTAGAAAGCAAATGTTTTGAGAATGATGATGGCAACAAATGTACAAGTGTGCTTGATACAATGGATATTTGTATGAATTGTGATAAGAGTTGTATGAGCCCTCAATAAAATGAGTTTTAAAAATGCATTCACATTTTACATTTGCAGAATTCTTAATTTTAAAATCTTTCAAACTTAAAAATAATCTAATTTAGTAGTTATCTTAAGATTAGCATAGAAATCATAGGATTGAAATTTTTTTGTGTTTGTGCTTTTTTATTATAAATTTAATTTGGTCTCTTACAGCTATTCTAACAATCAATAATACATCAAGTGTATCCACCACATTTGTACATATGTTGACTTCATCATTTTCAAAATATTTTCTTTCTGTTTGAGCTCTGAGGACTTAAAATTTTGCTTTAGAAGGACACTTAGAGAGTGTTTCCTTTCCTACTGGTGACACACGCACACATACACCCCACCCCCCCCCCCCCCATACACCAAATAAACAAAAACATCCACATGTGGGTTGCTTTAAAAAAAAAGAGTGATTTACTTTCTCTTCATATAGCAGCCTACATATTGGAATTCAGGGAATCAACCTTCAGGGAAGGTTGTTATCTATCTTTTTCAACATTCATTAGCTACAAGCAGCTTTGTATTTCCAGACTTAAAGGTACGACTGTCCAGTATGCTGGCTATGAGTCAAAATTAACTTGATGACAGTGTGTGTGTGTGTGTGTGTGTGTGTGTGTGTGTATGAGTGTGATTACTCTCTTGAAAGTTTCTTTTTGTGGACATACATTTTTTCCTTTAATTTTTCATTTTTTTCATCTTTATTGAGGTACAATTGACATGCACTAAATATTATATATTTTAAATGTAAAATTTGGTGTCTTTACATACATATTCTGTCATAAAGCATCACAATTCAGTTCTTGAATTTATCACCCTTGCACTAAGAAAGGTTTAAAATAGATAAATTCCACTTTTATCATTAACTATATGGTGTGTATTGGTGTGAATCCAGTCCTCAAATTAAGAGGATAATATGCAGTCCTCCTTATCAGCCACCCTATCCAACCCTCTCCCCGGAGAGCTGTGTCAGAAGCATTCAGACTACCGGTATGCACACAGCAACTCCTGTTAGCCTTCACTACTCCTGTTGGTTTGATAATTTGCTGGAATTCCTGACGGGATCTCACAGAGTGTATATCATACAGATGATTTGTTACAACCTAAAAGGATTAAAATGAAGAAATGCAGGGTTAAGTCTGAGAGGCATCCCAGAGCAGTGATTTTATATCCCAAAGGGGGATATGCTACCATATCCTTTTCTTGGTCACTAATTGGGAAACTCAGGTCTCTTATTGGTCTCTCCACATAGCCCTGATATGGCCTTTTTAAAAAAAACTGGCTTGAATCATTTAGCATAATTATTTTGAGTATCATCCATGTTACATGTTTGCATTTCATTCCTTTTTATTATTGATTAGACCTGATTGTATGAATATGTAAATTTGTCCATTCAGCTGTTGATAGACCATTAGGTTATTTTTAGTTTGGGGTTATTATCAATAAATCTGCTTTGCAAGGCCCAGGCACCTTGGTGGTGTAGGGGGTTAAACATTGGGCTGCTAATCACAAGATCAGCAGTTTGAAACCACCAGCTGCTCCTTGGGAGAAAGATAAGGCTTTCACTATCAAGATTTACAGTTTCAGAAACCCACAAGGGAAGTTCTACACTATCTTAAAGGGTAACTATGAAACCAAATTGAGTTGATGGCAGTGAATGAGAAGCAAGTCTTAGTATGGACGTATCCTTATCATTTAGTAAATGCACTGGATTGGAATAGCTATCAAATGATAGATAAATAATTCACTTCTTTTTTCAAAATAATTTTATTGGGAGCTGATACAGATCATACCATTCAAAAGTCCAGTCATATCAAAGGGTATTGTACAGTTGCTACTACAGTCATTTTCAAAACATTTTCTTCCTTCTTGAACTCCTTGATGTCTGCTCCCCTCCCCACCACCTCCCACGCCGTACTCCCCCAGGAACTCTCATTTAATTATTGTTTCCATAGATGCATCAATCCTGGGTTTCATATACTGAAAAATAGAAAAACGCACAGCAAAGATTCCAGGAGGCTACCCACAAGGGCAAATACATCCACAACTAAACCCCAATAGGAATAAAACACAATAAAATATTAAAAACCGGATCAAGTCCAAACAGTTCACTTTTTTTTGAGATAAGATTCACATTATTTGAAATGTACAATTCAATCACGTATATTTATATTTACAATATATAACTTTCACTATCTAATCCCAGAATATCTTCACCATCCCCTAAAGAACCTTTGTAACCATTAACCAATCACTGCATTGCTCTTCCTCCCAGCTGCTGGCAACCACTGTCTCTCACTCAGGATTTGCCTCTTGACCTTTCATATGAAAGTTACAAAATATTTGGCTTTTTGCATCTAATTTTTGCATAAAGCAGAATACCCAAGTAAGTCAAAGGTATTGGTACTAGGATTCCAGTTAGTATGTAAATTTCGACATGTGTCTGTGATCACTTGATGGCTGTCGATATGAGCTCTTAGTAATACTTACTTGTCTTAGGCTGTTTAAGATGCCTTAAAAATATATCCAGTCTACACAATTGATCTATGTATTGTGATGAATTGTATGAGCCCCAATAAACTGATTAAA